CGCCCAGCTCTCGGACCTGTCCACGCCGTCCCTCACGCCTTCCCTCACGCCGTCCCTCACGCCGTCCCTCACGCCCTCCCTCGCCGAGTCTGGCGGCGGAGAGGCCGGAGAGGCGGAGGGAGGGCTCTCCTAGCGGCGGGCAGTTGGCCCGAGGAGGGAGCGGAGTAGGCGCGGCGGCACGGCCTGCCCGCCCCCCGCCCCCGCCCTCTCCTCACCCCCCCGGAGTGCGCGCGTCGTAGGGCATTCTTGCGATGCGGGGCGCGGCAGCAGAGGGGGCCGGGCGAGGGGGCAGGGGACGGGGCGGGGACTTCGTTCGTGGGTCCCGAGGCTTGCGCGCCTCGGGACGGCGATCGACGCTACAGCAGTCATGGGGGCGAGCCACAGAGGGGTCGGCCACGGGGAGCAGGCCGGTCGACAGGTACGTGCTGTGCGGACGCGGCAGAGAAGGGGTTTGCGACCGGCCTGCGGGGGCACTTTGCGCTCGGCTAGGACCTGATGCGACAGGCGATGCGAGGCCCTCTCTCTATGGGGCTAGCCATGGGCCGCCCGCCGCGCCGGCCGCGCCGGCCAAGCGCGGCGCGCGCGTAGAGCGAGAGCGAGCGAGAGTCTCCGAGACGCGCGAGATCATCATAGCGAAGATCGAGATGCGAGTGCTCGGATGACACACGTAAGACGCGGAATCGTATGCGGTAACCGGTATGGCGTGATGGCGTATGCGTGACTCTGTGTGGCGCGAGCATGATACCGTCTTGCGCTCGAGAGTGCGTTTTGAAAATACAGGGAAACGACCGACCAACAACGAACGAACGATATCAACCCTTCTCAACGACCGACCCATCTCGTAGCAGCAGTTTCCCGCCGGGCAATATCTGCGCCACCTCACGCTCGGGCGTGCTCGCAGCTTCAGCGAGGTTGGCCTGCAGCGCCCGCTCCTTTGCTTGCCTCTGCGAAACGCAAGGGCGGACGTGAGCGTGCGTGGGCTCGGTGGGCGCCGTGGCGCAGCACACACACACCTCCCGGTTGGGCATGTCGGCAAAGAAGGCGATCGTGAGGATGGAGCCGGCGGCGAGCCAGGTCAGGACGGGAAAGCGCTCGACGTGGAAGACGTCACGCAGCTGCTTGCGCCTGCGGGTGCGAAGGGAAGCGGTGAACGCGAGTGGGCGGGCGGGAAATGCAGGGTGGTGTGGGTGGGCGGCTGCCATCTCGCGTTCGACATGGGGCGGCAAGAAAGCGCAAACTGTCGAAACACGGGGAAAGGGTGCAAGAGGCTACTGCAGTCAGGCACCGTGGCCGCCGAGAGGCAGCCGCCATCGCAAACTTTGGCTCCAACTTCTCCCTGGAGCTCTCCGCCACTCTCTCCGAACTTCTCACGTTCGCCACCGCCGGGCAGCTTCCATGCCGACAGCCTTTTACTCGCCGCTCCGCTGCTTGCCACTGGTACCGCGGCCGGAGCTGCGCCCGCTGCTGAAGCAGACGACGCTTTTGACGCCTATTCTGCGCTGGCACCGCCTCCACTCCCGCAATCTACCAGTCAGCTGACCGCCTCGGCGTCCTCCGGGCTATTCGACTCAGCAGCTGGCTTGCCTTCTGGTTCTCCTTCCGCCTCGTCGCTATTTGCGAATGATCCCGCGACCGAGCACGCAGCCGCTGGCAGGGCAGACAACGGTGCACACGCCTCCCCCTCGCCGGGGGATGGAGCTTGCAGGGGAGGGAGCGCGCATGCGAGTTTTTCGTTTCCGTCTCTCGCGCCGTCATCCGCCGTGCTGCCGCCCGGCCTCGAACCAGCCGTCTCACGCGACATCTGCTTGTCGCCTGGTGACGCGGCTGTTTCTGCTGCCGCTGCTAAGGAGCAGGCGGACATCGCTTCCAGGGAGGGGGGCGTGCTTCTGCTCACGCCCCACCCCCCCCCCTAGCATGTGGTGAAGCCTCTGGGGGGGTCGGGACCCCCCCCCGGGCGCGAAGACGCCTGCGGGCCAATGGAGCCTGAGGGGGGGAGGGGGGGGGGGGGGTGATCTAACGCGGGAGGGCCGAGGAGGTCCGTCCGCACAGCGCGCACAGTGATTGATCATGCTGCGATCGGGTGCTTTGTAGCCATCGGGTGCTTTGTAGCCGGCGGGGAAATTCATGCGCGAGTTATAGATGTCTTGAATCACTCCCCGGCCTGTTTAGGGGGGGGGGGTGTGAGGGGGCCGATGGCGGAGCTTCAACGGCCCATTTGAGCCCTGCCACACACCCTTCTCCTTGTAGTTTGGCCAAGCGGTGTCGAACGGGGCAAAATCTGTCGCCGAGGCCAGCCCGTCTGAACCGTACTTGAGGGTACCGCTAGGGTCGTGGGCGCTCTTAAGGTAAGGTCCGCTCAACTTGCTGGAGCTCGTGTGGTCGGTCAGCGGCTTCTCGCCGTGCTCGACTTGCTGCGAGCCATCAGCGTTGAACTATGGTTGCGGGGAGGAGGAGGAGCCGTAAGGGGAGGCACGTACTGCGCACCTGCCTAAAGTACGCACCGTGATGTGGACGGTCGCCGATTTTGCCGGAGCTCCGGTGTAGCCGAGATTGTTGATGCGGTCGTAGCGGGCGGTGATGTGCTTGTTCCACGGCTGATGCGCGAGCCGGCCCCGCCAGTCGGACTGGTCCAGCATCCGGTGCTTCAAGATGCCCTTGGTCTCTTTGGCGTACTCCTCCTGACTCCAGATACCGATCGACTCGTCGCTGAAATCGATGAGTTGGCCATTTTCGTCGGACCGGTTCGTCAGGTCCTGCGTGATACGTGCAGATGCGTGGCTGTGAGCGAGGTACTGGCACTGGTGGTTTGTGCAGGGGCGCGGGGTTGTTGCGGGGTACGCTAAGGACACCTTGAGGGTCGAACGGATCTCGAGATTCTTGCAGTCTTGCCACATGGTGAAGGTGTTCTCAATCATGGAGTGGTGCCCCAAAAACATGGGATCGGAGATCGACTCGTACGAGATCATTTGCCCGCCGATGAAGGTGTGCGGGACGCCATGCACAGTCGTCTCGACTCGCTGGGCAAAGCCGGAGTTGGGGTGTCGAAAGTTGTTCGTGCCCTCCAAGCTTAGATCAGCTGGCCTGCCAGAGCGGAATCAATTGGTGGAATTCCGATTCTAGCTAGGCTCTCGGGATCCAGCTAGGTAATCTGAGGCGCACCGGAAGAACTCGCTGGTGGAGATCATGGTGGCGAGGTCGGGCGGCGTGAGGAATTTCTGGTTCATGTTGGACATGGTAAAGTCGACTGCCCGCGCAACGCAGTTCTGTGTGTGCGGGTCTTTTGGGTTCTCATTGTTGGGGGTTGGGGCCGTCCAGCCAGCAAAGGGTCCCTTATCGAGGCAGCCAACGCGGTTGTCGTACACCTGGTTGGCCATCCCTTTCGTGTAGAGCGTCTTTTGCGGGAAGAGTGGCTTGCCCGTCACCTTATGGCTCCCGAGGTGCTCGCAGTTGAGCGGCCCCCACCCGGCGGCGGCCTTAGCCGCGTACTCCTTCTCCGTGCAGGCGCTCGAGCTGTCATCGCCCAAACCTACAGGCGCGGGGTACGATCGTTGCAAGACAATGAGGCCAGTGTTGACATGGGGGCGACACACCTGGCCACAGTGTGACGCCGCCAGCGACCGCGTGAGGGTCGTGGCGGATCTTGCACAGGCCGATTGCCTCGTCCTTGCTGGTGATGGACGGGTTATTTTCCATCACCAGCTTCAGATGCTCATCCACTCCATTCTGAACGGCGAGGTCGTCGGGGTCCTTGCACATCGGCCCGCCCTGCATGGTGAGGTTGTCCGACCACTTGCAGAAGGGCGAGGTGGAGCAATGCGGAGACCCGCCGCCGCCAAAGTCGTGAACGAACTGCAGAAAGGCGAGGTTGAGGTGCCATGCGAGGCAAAGTGTTCTATAGAGGGAATCGGTTAGGGGCGGGGAACGGACTACTATCAGCGGGCCTGCGATGCTGCGCTGTACGAGGTACATCCCTTGCCCATGCTTCGAGTGCCGTCAAACTTGTCAGTCGTATCGTCGCGCCGCCAGGGGTGGGGCACCTTCTTTGGGTCTCCAGTGCGGACGTCGGACTTGTAGTAGATCGAACCAGAGGTGGCATGCTCGCAGTCGCTCTGATCAGCAGTCCAATCCCACGCCGGCGTCGTCAAGCACGAGTACCAGTCGCGGCAGCCCGGGCACTCCTCGTCCTCCTCTACGTCGTCGTCGAAGCCCTGCGCGCGCAGGAGATTCTCGTACTCTGTGCGGGGGGGGGGGGGGGGTAAGTGTGTGCGCGCGCGTGTTCGTTTGCGTGGACGGTGTTTGTGCGTGCGTGCGTGCGTGCATGCGTGCGTGCGTGCGTGCGTGCGTGCGAGTGTGTGTGTGTGTGTGTGTGTGTGTGTGTGTGTGTGTGTGTGTGTGTGTGTGTGTGTGTGTGTGTGTGTGTGGTCGTGTGAGGACCGAGTTGGTTCTTGCGATGCCATGGCAAGAAATGCGACGTGAAGTGGTTCGTAATTGCCGCCATCGGGACGCCGTGCATCCACATGAACTTGGTCAAATCGCCGCTGCGCCGAGCCATCTTGAGGGCGCTGAAGAGCACGCGCTTGGAGCGGCCGAGCATGAGGTCTTCCTCCTTAGTGACGTTGCGAATCTTTGCCGCAGAGTCAGGTTCATCGCAGCCATTCGCGGGGTGGTTCTCGGTCTCCTCAAGCGGGCCCCGTTTCAGGCACTTGAAGGCCTCCTGCGTGTGGTCCACGTAGTCGTTGTACCTGCGGCGCGCGGGAGACAGTTCGTCATTCGGGGTAGGGGTGGGCACCAACGAATACAGCTCTGCACGCACATGTAGCGCCAAGTCCAGCGCACGCGCTTTTGCCAAGGCTGGCATTTGCGGCAAGCTGCTGCGCCACCGGTGCACGTCGATTTTGTATCGAGATCGAAGTCGATGTCATCCGGGCGCGGCATCGAAGCGAACGTCGTGCCGCGCACCGTCGGGTTGGTGTCGCCTTCGACGGCGGCGTCAATCGGCAGCGCGCTGGCCGCGGCGACGCCGAGCAGGAGGCAGACCATCTTCTTGAGCATGCTGAAAAGTCCTGCGCCAAAAGAAGTTGAGTCGGTCGCTTGCATTGGATGTGCACAAACAGCTATATGCGCATTGTGGATGTGTACGGGGTCTGGAATGGGAGGGATGGGGACGGGGGACAAAGTCGATCAGCCTGCGGGGCGGGGGCGGCGATGTGCGGGGGACGGGCTCAAGAGGGCATGGACACGCGGCAGCAGCGCAGGCTGGCAGAGCTGGGCGGTAGGACGCTCGGCGAAGAAGGCCTGATGGACGAGACCTGACGGCAGAGAAGGCGGTGTTGCAGAGGAGGTCAGGAGGCGGACAGGCGGAGGCGGCGGTCGGCGGCGGAGGGCGGCGGAGGGCGGCGGAGGGCGGCGGCGGTGAGGGCTGCGGAGGCGGCGGCACGATCGGCGGCGGGGGCGCGGGCGGCGGCGGGCGGGGCGAAAGCGGCTGCAGCGGTGGCGGTGGGGAGGGAGAAGGGAGGGCGGCGGAGGCGAGGGCGGAGGCGAGGGCGGAGGCGAGGGCGGGGGCGTGGGTGGAGGCGAGGGCGGCCGGCGGCGGCGAGGGCGGCGGCGAGGGTGGCGGCGAGGGGCGGCGGCGAGGGCGGCTGCTGCGGCGGCGGTGGGGAGGGCGGCGGCGAGGGCGGCGGCGGCGAGGGCGGCGGCGACGGCGGCGGCGGCTGGTAGAACCAGCTATCGAACTCGTTGCTGAAGCCGCACGCACGGTACGAGTAGTGCAGGGCGGCGCCCAATACGTGCGCGGTCGTGCTGTACTCGGTGTTTGCACGCGGCCGGGTCGACGTAGCACCACTCATGCTCGCACCGGCCGGGGTAGCCGGTCGAGGTGCAGGACGGCTCGAGCCCGCTGTCGTGCGGGTCGCACCCGTGGAGGCCGTACGTGCACCTACGGGAAGGTTCCGAGAAAGTTCAAGGGCACACTGCAGGAAGGTTCCGGGAAGGTTCTGGGCAGGCCACGTGTCGTCGGTGTAACAGAGAGCGTGCGCGAGCTGCGCGCCTGCTCGAGGCCAGGTCCCTCTCGGCTCGCCCCGGGCTCTCCACCCCTACCCGGGCTCTCCACCCCTACGAGCCTCATGAGCAGCGCGGGGTTGCCCGAGCATTCGAGGGATGGGATGAAAGAATGGGCAGCAGCCTGCGTCAAGACGATCAAGGGGAGGATGTTGACGACGACGATGAAGAAGAAGGTGAGGTTGTTGATGATGATGTTGACGAGAGTGGGGATGAGAATGGTGATGAGGATGGTGATGAGGATGGTGATGGTGACGAGGATGAGGGCGAGGATGCTGGTGAAGACGTGACGATGATGGTGATGCTGACGATGGCGCGAGGACTTATCATGCTGATGCTTGCGGTGATGGAGAAGAAGGGCAGGGGGCGAGGCATCTCTCCGCTCGCGCGCCGAGTAGATCGTTCTCTCTCATCGAGTCGACGCAAGCGAGCATTCCGAGGATGAACATATGCGAGTGGCGAAAGAGACTGCTCGACTCGCCGCATATGCTCATGCGAAGCAGGCCGTGCTCGAGGCCGGCGAGGTAGCCGACGGCGGAGGCCGCCCAAGTACGCTTGCCAAAGGTCCCGCCGCCGACGTTTTCGCATCGCTCCGGGGCGTGTACCGGGGTATGATTCTGGGCGGCGATGGGCTTGTGTGTCGATTGGCGGTGCTGCGTCTGTTGGGGACTAGCTTGGGATGGCTGGCTGGCGGGCCTCGAGTTGACGGACGGACACCTGCGAGGGCAGGCAGGGTGTGATTCCCACGGAGCCCCGGCTGCGGGCGGCGAGCGCGAGGGCCACACCTTGATGATCACGATGGTCCACACGAGCAAAGATTGGAAGAGGCAGGGGCGAGCAAAGATTGGACGAGGTCAGGCCCCCGAGGGAGGGGGCAGGCAGATTCACTTCCATCTACTCGGCTGGCTCGAGAGCGGCGCAGTCGACGGATGGGAGGAGGAGGGCGCAGTCGACGTTGGCGTGTCTGACTCAGAGGATAGGAGGAGTTGGAGGTGCTCCGGCAACCTAACCTGATTCAGAAGCTCGCCGACGTTGTCACTCACTCAACGTGCGTCATGCGTGATCGAGTTTTTGGTCAACCAGTTTGTCGACAAAGTCGCCACCGAGCTCCTGCTGCTCGACTGCGCGGCAGAACCGGGTCCTCGCGGCCGAGATGCGGTGCGCCGACACCGGGGCTTCGGCGCGGGGCCATTTCCGGGCCGTCTCGAGCAACTTCAAAATCGACCGATTTTATGACCTCACCATCCTGCTGCTCTTTGACCTCAACCTCGCGGCCCTCTGCGCGGTTGACCTAACCTGTGCTGCTGCTGCTGCTGCTGCTTCTGCTGCAGCTACTGCTCCTGCTGCCCTCCCGCCCGCCCGCCCTGCCCGCCCGCCCTGCCCGCCCGCTCGTAAGGGGTCTTCACCTTCACACTGGTCTGGCCACAGGTGGGCAACCTTCCTTCCCGTCGAAGGTCAAGCGGCCTCAACTTCGCGCCCTACCGCCCGCCCTCGCCCTCGCCTCCCGCCTCCAGCCTCCGCCCGCCGACCCGCCGCCAGATCGTCCGCCACCCCGTCGTCTCTGTCGCCTCTCGCCCGCCCGCCATCGCCCTTGCCTTTCACCTCCCGCTGCCTCCCGCCGACCGCCACGCCAGCTTGCCCGCCGCCCTGTCGTCTCGCCTAACGCTTGCCCGCCATCGCCCTTGCCTTTCACCTCCCGCTGCCTCCCGCCGACCGCCACGCCAGCTTGCCCGCCGCCCTGTCGTCTCGCCTAACGCTTGCCCGCCCTCGCCCTCGACCCCTCCTCCCGCCACCACCCTCGCCTCACCCTCCCGCCGCCTCGCCGCTCGCTCGCTCGCTCACCCGCTCGCGCCTGGCTTTCTACTTCCTCAAGATCGCCCGAATCTCTACTGCCTCCCTCAACGCCGTCGCCCTCACCCCCGCCTCGCCGCTACCTCGCCCGCTTGCGCCCGACTTTCTACCTCCTCGTGATCCAACTCGCCACCCCCCTCGCCTCGTCATCCTCCCGCCGCCTCGCCGCTCCCTCGCCCGCTCGCGCCCGACTTTCTACCTCCTCGTGATCCAACCCGCCACCCCCCTCGCCTCTTCACCCTCCCGCCGCCTCGCCGCCACCCCGCCCGCTCGCGCCCGACTTTCTACCTCCTCGTGATCCAACCCGCCACCCCCCTCGCCTCGTCATCCTCCCGCCGCCTCGCCGCCACCCCGCCCGCTCGCGCCCGACTTTCTACCTCCTCGTGATCCAACCCGCCACCCCCCTCGCCTCGTCAGCTCACCCTCCCGCCGCCTCGCCGCTACCTCGCCCGCTCGCGCCCGACTTTCTACCTCCTCGTGATCCAACTCGCCACCCCCCTCGCCTCGTCATCCTCCCGCCGCCTCGCCGCCACCCCGCCCGCTCGCGCCCGACTTTCTACCTCCTCGTGATCCAACCCGCCACCCCCCTCGCCTCGTCAGCCTCCCGCCGCTTCGCCGCTACCCCGCACTGCCGAGTGCCGTCCGTTACCGCCGTGCCGCCGCACCGCCGCTCCTACAGTGCCGCGCCCGCCGTGCCATTTGTCCCGCCGTCCGATGTCCTGCCTGCCGTCTGTTGCCGCCGCGCCGCCTTACCGCCGACCCTTACCGTGCCGCGCCGCCTTCACACACACCTGACTTCCTGCTCGACCGAGTTTGCGTTGAGGAGCGAACCGAGCCGCCGGTGTGTCCCGCAGCGGCCTCGCTGGGCCAGAAGACCCGGTCCGCGAGTGCTCCGCAGCAACCTCGCTGAGCCAGAACGTCGGCTCGCGAGGTGGATGCTAGCATGAGCCCGATGCGTCGCAGTGCTCTTGCGTTACGGCGGTAGTGATCTAATCACCCGAATGCCACGTTCGGATCGCTCCTCATCGCAAACCCCGTCAGCAGTCCTCCTCCGGGAATGTACGTAAGAGCTACATACACTGAAAGAATTTCTCGCGCCACTGCCGACTCCGCGACGCGCCACCTCCACAGAGCTGAACGGCCAGAGACCGATCTGCTGCCCACAGCATGCTCTCGCTCGCGTCCACGGCGGGCGCGGCGGGCGCGCTGCTCGCCGGGTCCGCCAGCGCCACCTCCCTCCGCCCTGCGCCGGCGCCGCGCGCTGCGGTGCGCCTGGCTGCCGACCCGGCGCTCGTCGCCGACGTGGCGAATGCGTGCCTGGCGGCAGCAGGCACGTGCACGCCCGAGGTCTCGCCGTTCGAGCCGCATCTGCTGAGCGGGATGGGAACGCTGGGGAGCGACATGGTCTGGTCCTTTGGCGTGGCGGGCTTTGGCCTTGCGGGCGCGTATCTCACGCAGGGTGCCGAGGCGGTCTCGTTTGACGACTCAGAGTCGGAGTCTGAGTGGTTCTCCGACGACGCCGAGCCGCGGAGAAGGTCGCGCGCGCTGCGGCCGCCCAGCGAGGACGACGCGTGGATCAAGGACGACCCGTTCATCGACGACCCGTTCTAGTAGCAGCCCTCATGTTGCAGACTGAGGTACTGAGAGGGGGAGGGACGCACCCGTGGGTGGAGCGCGGGACGCCGCGCGATGTGCATGCCTGCGGACGGCTCCGGACCGCGCACGTTAAGTGCGGGTGAGTGTGTAGCTTCCCGTGGCCGTGCCGCCTTTTGGGAGAGCGAGAGAGAGGCGCCACGACTCCTGCACCGTGCCAGTGAGCAGTGTAACTCGGCGCGAGTGCGTGCGTGAACGCTCCAAGCTTTACGTAAACATGCATGCTACACAAAACCAGGCATGCTCTCTGAACCCGACAGTTGCGCCTATCCGCCGCGCGGCGGGCGGCGCGTCGACGTGTGTGTATCTCCGCGGACATGTGATAGATATCTCGTGTCTGGCGGCTTGCATCACCTACACACGCTCGCTCGCGTGCCGACTCCATCTAACGACTAACCTGTCCTCGCTCCACCTCTGTCACGCCGCCTCCTGGGCCTCCTCCTCGACACTGCGCGGCAAGTTCTTGCCCGGGTACCAGCCGCCGCCCTCCTTGAGGCGCTTGCCGGGGTACCACCCCTCCGGAGGCGGAGGCGGGGGCGACTGCTCGGCGGCGCCCTGGAAGATCCACCATCCTCCTCCGGGCGGGGGCGGCGAGGGCGGAGGCGGCGAGCTCGCGAGGGCCTGCTCTATCCGCTGGCCGGGGTGCCACCCCTCGAGGCGCTGGCCCGGGTGCCACTCCTCCGCCGCCGTCTCCGCCGCCTGGCCGCCCTCGACCAGGTTCTTGCCTGCGCAGGGCGGCGCGGGCGGAGCGGCTCAGCGCCGCGGCGCGAGGGCGCGGGCAGGTGTATGGTGTCGAGGGCGCGGGCGGGTGTGCGGTGGTGGTGCGGCGAGGGCTCACCCAAGTACCAGCCCTCGTAGTCTGGCCCCGGCGTGTGCTTGGCGAGGAAGTCGTTGAGCATCTGCACCAGCCCGCCGAACTCCTTCACCTTGCCCTCGAGCACCGAGCCCGCCGCTCCCTCGAGCGTCACGTCCATCAGCGCGCCGGCAGCGGGGCCGAGCAGCGCCTGCGGGCCGTAGCAGAGGATCTTGCCCACCGGGAAGGGGAGCGGCGTGGCGGAGAGGCTGAGCCCGACGCCGAGGGGCCCCATCAGCTGCGTCGCGCCCGGCTGGAAGTCGCCCGAGCAAGCCGTCACCTTGGAGCCGTCCGAGGCCTCGCCAAAGGCTATCGTCAGGTTGAGCGAGCCGCGCATGTCCGAGACGGCGTCGGCGGCGACGGCGCCGACGCCAAAGACGCCGGGGTACTGCACGCGCAGCGCCTGCGTCATGTTGACGTCCTCGATGCTGACGAGGAGCACGTCGGGAAGCAGCCGAGGCACGCCGCGCAGGATCCGCCTCGGCCTGCGGCAGGCGCCCATCCGAACCTGCCCGACCTCGATCGCCTTGATGGACATGTTCTGCACCTCCGTCTCGACGAGGCCGACGCGAACCAGCACCGTCAGCGGCATGCGAGACAGCTTCGGCCGCCGCGGGATCTCGGTGATCACCTTTTGCACGCCGTCGTTGATGAAGGCCTCGAGCCAAGGCGCCACCTCGTTGCACTTCGTGCCCTCCGGCATCCCCGGAGGAGCGTCGAAGGACTCCTTGTGGAAGGCGCCGCCGGTCGCCTTGTCGAAATATTTGCCCGGGTACCAGCCGCGGGTCGTGGCGGGCTCCGCCTCGGCGGACTGCTGCAGCGAGTCGGGCGCCGTGAGCCTGTGCGAAAGGAGCGTGGCCGCCACGGCAAGAAGCGCGAGCGCTGGGAAGAGCGCCAGCGACGCTACGGGACGCCGCGGCGCTGCGCTGTGAATCATCGCGGTGGTCAGCCACGACGGTCAGGGCGCGATTGGCGCGGCTTGTCAATCGAGGCGGCAGCACGCCCCGTCGTGGAGCACAATTGATAAGAAGGTGGGAAGGGGCATGAGTTTTTTTAGTGTATGTGGCTCTTACATTCCCGAGGAGGATCTTCGGCAAAGGTACGCCCTTGGGGGGTCTTCTCTGTCAGCCCCGGAGTGCACAGGCGCGAGAAATTTGGAGGTACCTCGCCAGCTGTGAGCTAGTCCCAGGGCTCGTGTTCGTTCTGTGGGCGTCGCAGCGCGTGTGTGTTTAGCCTACACGAACGATGCTCGATGTGTGTAGCTTGCCGGACGCTGCACTTCAGGAACTCGTGGGTGCACTCCGCGCTGGGCGCGAAACGGGCGAACAGTTTGCCGACTACGTGCAGACGCAGCTCGACGCTAGCGCTGACATCAACCAATCTGTGTACTTGGGCGCCACGTTGCTGCACTACGCGTGCGAGGGGGGCTTGATCGAGAGCGTCCGACTGCTCCTCAAGGCTGGCGCGGCGGTCAACCAAACTGCGGACAATGGCGCCACGCCGCTGTACCTCGCATGTGTGCACAACCACTCTGAGATCGCTGGGCTGCTTCTAAGTGCTCGCGCGGATGTCGCATACCAGAAGGACGACGGCTTCACGCCGCTGCTCGTCGCGTGCCAGAAGAGCCACCTCGAGACCGTCCGGCTGCTCCTCGACGCTCGCGCACCAGTCCCCCAAGCGAACAGCGACGGCTCCACGCCGCTTCACACATCGTGCGAGAAGGGCCACCTCGAGGTCGTCCGGCTGCTCCTCAACGCACAAGAGCCCCGACCAAGAGCCCCGACCAAGAGCCCCGACCAAGAGCCCCGACCAAGAGCCCCGACCAAGAGCCCCGACCAAGAGCCCCGACCAAGAGCCCCGACCAAGAGCCCCGACCAAGAGCCCCGACCAAGAGCCCCGACCAAGAGCCCCGACCAAGAGCCCCGACCAAGAGCCCCGACCAAGAGCCCCGACCAAGAGCCCCGACCAAGAGCCCCGACCAAGAGCCCCGACCAAGAGCCCCGACCAAGAGCCCCGACCAAGAGCCCCGACCAAGCCCCCAAGTCATCCCCCTCCGGTCCTCTACCAACCAAATCGGAGTCGAACTCCGACCAAGCCCCCAAGTCACCCCCCTCCGGTCCTCTACCAACCAAATCGGAGTCGAACTCGCAGCCGATCGGCTTCGGCTGTGCAACTTCGTTCGAAAACTTTGGCAAGCCACCTCACCCGCCCATACAGCCCTCGAAGTGCGTCATGTAGCTATGAAAAAAAAGTGAGAGGAAAGAAAGAATTGGTGTACCTGTGTAGGAATCGTAGTTTTTGTCTGCAATCCACTAAAAAATCCTCAAACCCTGTCAGCAGAGTCCTGACGCAGTGCAGCAGGCTGTGATGCAATACGGCTATGACGACGAGCTCTTCCAGGATTGGAGGGACGGCAAGATAGGCGAACAGGACTTGCCGGAGGAGGTGATGGCTATGACTTTGGACCTTTGCGAGAGGTGGCAAGAGCGGTGTAGGCGCGTCCACGCGGCGCAGCGGCTCTCCCGCGACCCCGGCCCCTCTCGTAGCCGCAGCCGCAGCCGCAGCCCCAACTCTTGCCGCTCTTCCGTGTCGGGTTGTGACGAGGGGTGAGGGGACACGGATTGAAGATCCCTCACACCAAGATCGTGCAGGGCGGGGACACATGTCCCTAAATCCCATCTCGTCTCAGAGTTTGACCGTTTTATTTATTCACTGCACTTTGTTTATTTATTTAGCAGAGTCCTCCTACACAAAGAAACCCCCCCACATCCCCCGTCCATCCCCCGTCCACATCCCCCGTCCCCCCGTCCCTCCCCCACACCTCCCCCATCCCCCATACCTTACAACCCAACCGGAGTCGAACTCGCAGCATATCGGCTGCAAGCCGTGTCAGAACCAAACAGCGGCAAGCCAACCCACCACCGTCCCATAAAGTGCGTCATATTCTACCATGGCTCAGAAAGGGCGAGGCGTGACTATAGCCGGGGCAGTCAGAGAAGGGGCAACTCCGAACACGCCTGCGTGGACCGCGTTCACCAACCCTCGGATGTTCGGGTGGCCTAGACGTCACAGAGCCCGAACCCGAAACATCAGCTTCCAACCGCCGGCCGATTCTTCAGTTTATTTTTTTAGCTATTCGCGCCGGTTCATGCAGGTCTCTCTCGCGTCCGAGAACACGGCACTCGTCCTCGACTTGCTCTCCCAGCTCAAGCGCGGTGCTGCTCCCGTCGCCGCACCCACTCCGGCGCCAGCAGCAGCCAAGGAGCGGCCGCATGACAAGGAGGCACGAGCGGCGTGGCGCGCTGAGAGGGCTGTGGAGGCGCAGGCAGCGGACCGGGCGGCGCGGCGAAAGGAGAAGGAGCACGCTGCGGCGCTCAAAGAGGCCTTTGCGGCGGACGCGGCGGCTGCCGCGGTGGTGCGGAGAGAGCAGCAGCCCAAGGAGGGCGGCAGTGTGCGCGTCACGATCGGGTCGGCGGACAAGCCTTCGGAGCGGAAGCTGGTCGTGCTCGCTCGCTCGCCAGACCTCACCGAGCTGCTCAAGGCTGGCAAGGCAAAGCTGCGGCTGAAGAAGGCAGCCGGCGCGAGGCTCGCAGGCGAGGGCGGCCGCTGGGTGCGCTCGACGGCGGAGCTTGCCGACGGAGACATCGTCCTGCTCACCACGGAGGCCGCGCCCGCCGAGGAGGAGCCGGGAGGCGGCGGCAACGGCGCAGATGCGCCGGCGGCCAACCTCTCGCGAGCCTCCTCCTCCTCAGTGGCGGGCGAGAAGGGCGATGAGGAGGAGGTCGCAGTGGATGCCGCTCCAAAGGTTCCTTCAGAGGCTTCGGCGGAGTCGGCTGCGGCGCAGGCGGAGCAACGGGCGGCGTCGCCAACAGGGGCGGCGGCAGCAGCGAAGAAGTCGCGGCGGCGCGCCACGCTGCCGCAGCGGCTGGGCGGCGATGCGGCGGTGGCAGAGCAGCGGCGGCTCGCCGTGGCGCGGCCGCCGGAGGGTATGGCGGCGGCTCGCGCGGCGCTTCCCCTCGCCTCCCTCGCCGAGGAGGCTGTGGGCGCCATCTCCAGCCGGGGTGGCGCCGCGCTGCAGCAGCGAGGCTTGTGGTCGAGGCGAGTCGCAGAAGGTGTCGAGGGTGCGGGAGTAGGCGCGGCGGTGCTGGTTGGCGAGCCAGGGTGCGGCAAGTCGACGCAGCTGCCGCAGCTGCTGCTCGAGCGTCTGGTCGCGCAGGGCCGTGGAGGGGAGGCGATCTCTTTCGCTGGCCTACCAAGCAGTGGCTGTGTGGCGCTCTCTCACCGCACTCGTCTGTCGGTAGGCCGCCATCGTGGTGACTCAGCCGCGGCGGGTCGCTGCAGTCGGGCTCGCGTGCCGCGTCGCCGCGGAGAGAGGCGAGCCCGTCGGGCTGACTTGCGGCTACGCGGTGCGGGGCGAGGTCAAGGCCGGCCCGCACACTCGCATCCTCTACTGCACAGTCGGCTGGCTGCTGAGGCAGCATCCCGATGCCACGTTTGACGCCCGCCCGAGACAGAGAGACGCAACCCAGGTATGGACACGCGCAGGCAGCTCGAGGGCGTGCTCTCCCGGCGCGGCGAGGGGTGGGCCCGCCTCAGCCGCCTCTCGCACGTCATCGTCGACGAGGCGCACTACTTCTTAGCACTAGTTCTTAGGTCCCTCCTCTTCCAACCCCCCACCCGAGATCACTCGAGATCGCCCGAGATCAGGCGCACGAGCGGTCTCTGCTCTCCGACTTCCTGCTCGCCGCCTTGCGCTCCGCTCTACTCGAGGAGGAGGGGATGGAGGAGGGGGAGGACGGCGGCGGGGAGTGTGTTCGCAGCCTCCCCAAGCTGGTCGCTATGTCGGCGACTATCGACGCCGCTAGCTTCGCCGCCTACCTCGCCGATGGCGAGGGCGACGCTCCTGTGGTCCGTGTGCCGGGTCGGCTCTTTCCCGTGCGCTGCTTGCATCTCGAGGAGGTGGCTGCCCCGGCTCTCGATGAGCCCACTTGCATGCAGCATCTCACTCCTCTCCTCTCCCCTCTGCCACCCAGGTGCTCGCCGAGACGCGGTTCGGTCGCGGCGCGGCTCGAGGCGGGCGCGACGGCATGCCGGCCGAGGTGGACTGGGCGCTGCTCACGCATTTGGTGGAGCACATCGCGACGGCGGGCGAGCCCGGAGCCATCCTCGTCTTCCTCTCGGGCGCGCGCGAGATCGAGCGCTGCTGCTCGGCGCTGCGATCCCGCCCGTCCTTGCGCGGCGCGTGGGTCCGTCCGTTGCACGGCTCGCTCTCTCCCGCAGAGCAGCGGCGCGCGTTCGAGGTGCCTCCGCCTCCGACGCGCAAGGTGGTGGTGAGCACTAATGTCGCCGAGACCTCCGTCACCATCGGCGACGTGGTGCACGTCGTCGATTGCGGCCTCGCAAAGGCGCGGCTTCGCCACAGCGCGCCCCTCAGTTGCACTCCTCTCCTCAGCCGGTTCATTTCTCAGCCGGTTCGCCCGCCCCGCGACACCAGGTGACGCGCTACAGCGAGGCGACCCGCATCGGCTCGCTTCGCGACGAGCCCATCTCGCTCGCGAGCGCCGAGCAGCGACGCGGCCGCGCCGGCCGCGTCGCTCCCGGCCATTGCTACAGGCTGTGGGCGGTATCGGCGCCGCTCTCGCCGGAGCAGCCGCCGGAGATGCTCCGAACGCCGTGCGACGAGGTGCTGCTCGCCGCGTGCGTGCTCGGCGCGCCGTCGCCTGCTGCGCTGCTCGCGAGCGCGCTCACGCCGCCGCCGCGCGATGCGATTGGCTTCGCCCTCGACAGGCGGCGCTGCCTCCCTCCAGCCCTTCCCCCGCCGGCCTCTAGCCGTGACCTCTCCGCCCCCTCGCGCGCAGGCTGCTCGAGCGGCAAGCAGTCGAGCGGGTCGAGGCGGCGCGCGCCCTTCCTCCGGCGGGAGGGCGCTTGCCCGCCGCCGGCGGCGTGACGTACCGATGCACGCCCCTCGGCGGCCACCTCTCCTCCTTGCCGCTCGACACGCGGCTGGGAAAGATGCTGCTGCTCGCCGCCCTCACTCGCTGCCTCGACCCGCTGCTGACCGCCGCCGCCGCCCTCTCGCTCGGCGCGTCGGTCTTCTCCGCCCCGCGCGACAGGCAGCAGGAGGCCTCGTTCCTGCAGCGAGAGGCGTACGGCCAGACCCGCTCGGACCAGCTCGCCGCCGCCGCGGCGTATAGAGGCTGGTGCGACGCCCGCGCTGCCGGAAAGGCGCTTGCGCTCGAGCATCGGGCGTCAAGAAGAGCAGCTCCTGTCACTTGCGTTTGGTTGCACTATAGGAGCGAGGCTACTGCGAGGCCCGCTACCTCAACGCACGCGCGCTGCGTGACCTGGAGGCTGCTCGCGGCGAGCTGCTCCGCCACCTCGCTTCGGCTCGCCTCCCCGCCGCCGCCGCCGCTCCTCTGTTTGGCCGCGTCGAGCCGCCCTCCGCCCCCCACAGGCGCGTTTCGTGAAGGCGCCGACCGCGGAGGGCATCGCCGAGGCGTCAACCTTTGCGGGCGACGATGCGCTGCTGCGGGGCGTCCTCTGCGCCGCGCTCTACCCAAACGTGGCCGCCGCGACGCGGACGGCGCCGGGCTCGCGCGCGGCGCAGCGGACGCCGTATGAGAAGGTGACGCTGCCGGGCGGCCACCGCTCGGGCGGCGATGCGCAGGTGTGGATCCATCCTTCGTCGATCAACGCGCGCCCTGAGCGGGCTGAGTCGGGCTTGTACGTCTATCTCGACAAGGTGGAGACGTCGCGCTTGTTCCTGCGCGAGACGACCCGCGTCTCGGCTGCGGCGCTGCTGCTCTTTGGCGCCACGCCCGCCGAGCTCGACGTCGAGCGCGTGAAGACGTGCGGCCGCGTCGAGCTCGCGGGGGGCGTGCGCGTGCGCGCGTCGCCGCAGACAGTCCTGCTCTTCAAGCTGCTGCGGCGAGAGCTCGACGCGCTGCTCACGCGCAAGGCGCGCGCCCCCGACGCGTGGCCGGAGGAGGAGCCGCAGGGAGAGGTGGTGCTGAGTACCGTGCGGGCGGTGGTGGCGGGGTGTTGATGGGTCTTAAATTATACGACCGACTTTTTTCTGATGAGCAGGGGCATACACAGCACATAGAGAATAGAGTGTGTTTGAGAGAGAGGCGCGCACAAGCGAAAGCCTCAGTGCCACACGCACACGACTAAAGTCTAAACGACCAAGTCGCAAGAGGAAGGGTCGCGCGCGAGCGAGAAGGCGCGGTGGCGCTGAGACGTACTTGCTGACGTGTGAGACGACCCCCGGCGTGTGCATAACGTGACGCGAGCGGTGGGTGTGTCTCCTTCACCCCAGCTTGGAAGCTTGCGTGCGTGCGCCCCGTGTGCATCTGGGCTCTGACGCAGGGGCGCTCGCGGTTACGCGGTTGAGATGACATGGGATACCGAGCGTGATGGCCGGGGCGCGGGGGGGAGGGATGAGGGATAGTTAAGACTTAAGTGGGGAAGGGAGATACGACGGGAAGCTCCGAAGGCGACGCGCGTGTCGGAGCGGTCGAGACGACCTCTTTCGACGACCTCTTGACCTTACTTGGCGAGGTTAAGGACGAGCATTGCTGCGAACGCCATGAGCATGGCCGCGAGTGGTGCCGCGATAGTCTCGGGGCGAGCAGAGGCCTATGGGACATGGAGAGAGGGTAAGAATCGAGGGGTGAGGGGCGAGACCATATTGGTCGTGTACTGACGCGGTAGCCTGCGCGAGCGGGCGAACGACGCGGTGCTTGATGCAGTGCTTGATCGCCGTGCAGGAATCGGCCGCCAACTTGCTCGTAAAGTTTCCAAGGTTGGCCTTGATCTCTGCCGCGTACTCGGCTAGCGATGGCGACGAGGGCGGCTCGCTGTCCCGCACCGCCGGCGTGGGCGAACGCAATGGGGGCGCGAGCTCTCCCAATGGGGGCGCGAGCTCTCCCTGCAGGGTCATGAGGACGTCGACGACCGGCACCATGCATGGGAACGGCTCCCCCACCGCCACCTCGATGGGCGGCGTGGTCGGTTCCTCCTCCTCCTCGTCGTCCTCGTCGTCCTCGTCGTCGTCCTCCTCCTCCTCCTCCCCGACGGACGGCTGGTCTGCGTGGATGTCGGGGGGGGGGGGGGGGGGTGCGGGCGGAGGGGATGGTCATCGGCTGAGAGCGCAAGGAGCAGGCTCGGGTGCGGGCGGCGGATGGGAAGCGTCGAAGCGACTGGGAGGTCGCGCTAAGGTCGCACCTCGCCGCCCTCGTCCTCGGCGGCGGCGGCGACGGCTGCGTCGAACTCCTCGGACGGCTGCGTCTCCTCTGGCGTGGTTGGCTCGCCCGAGACGGACATCTCGGCCACCTGAAGACGAGCAGGGCAGGCGACACGGTGCTCGGCGGACGGGAGGGGGGGAGGGGGAGGGGGGGAGGTTGGTGCGGACGGAGGGGATGTCCTCGGTTGAGCGCAAGGAGCAGGCTCAGGGTCCGGGCGGCAGAAGCGACTAGAGGTTGCACTAAGGTCGCACCGCCTCGCCCTCAGGAAGGGCGCCGTCGCCGTTGGGCGGCGTGGCGTTGGCAGCGATCGTGTTGCTCGCGATCTGCTCCGCAACGGAGGACATCTCGGCCACCTGAAACAGTGGGGTGAGGGGATGGTGTCTGCGAGAGTGTCTGCTCCCACTGCTCCCCCACTGCTCCCCCACTGCTCCCCCACTGCTCCCCCACTGCTCCCCCACTGCTCCCCCACTGCTCCCCCACTGCTCCCCCACTGCTCCCCCACTGCTCCCCCACTGCTCCCCCACTGCTCCCCCAACTGGTCCGCACACGGCTCCCCGCTTTTGTCCCTCCACTGCTCCCCCGCTGCTCCTCCACTGCTCCGACACTCCACCCATACTGCCCCCCCACTGCTCCCTCGTTGCCCCCCTCCTGCTCCCCCACTGTTCCCCCACTGCATCACCAGAGGTCCCCTGCTGCT